TCACGTCCTGTAGTCAAATATGGGCTGGGAGTTGCATCAGGTTTGGCATCAGGTCCATAGACAGCGAGAAGTTGATCGAGAAGAATAATGTAAGCATCAACTAAATCGGCCATGTGACTCCACCTTGCCTCGTTTCAAGGCGGCACGAATCAGTGCTGCAAGTGTCTCGGAATAGTGATGGAACAATCCTGTACCAATGCCATGGATGGCGGGCGGAAGAACGATGACACTCTTCAATTGAGGATTGGCTTGTGCTGCGTTGATTATAAGGAGATCGACATTCCGATGTGCCTGTTCGTCGGCTACACCGTTGATCTTATCGGGATCCAGATCGCTGTAGACCGTGTTCGATCCTTTCTTGCCGCGAACATCTTCAGAAATAACAGCGGTACCGCTAGTATGAATATAAATAACTGGTTTTCCTGTCGTCTGAGTTCGTTTGTTCAAACCACTAATAATCGATCTAGTCGACGGAAGATCATCAGCCGAATTGGCCGTATGAATAACGACATGTGATTCACTTGCTGCTTTTTCGATGATATCGTGCGAATCATTTGAGCCGATCAGAGTAGTAACACCGAGCGACGCAATCCTTTTCACTCTGCTTTCATCACCACGAATCAGAGCGGTTATTCTGAAGTTCGAGACATTTGGATGTTGAAGGAGACCAGTCAGAACGGAGCCTCCGATGTAGCCAGTTGCACAAGTCAAGAGAATGTTAATTTGTTTTGCCGACATTTTGTGTGATTTGAGATGTGAGAAAATCTTTATTTAAATAAGAATCTAATGTGCATATGTAATCATGACTAAGCACTAAGAATCAGAAGAGGAAGGTAGAAAGAACGATCGAAAAATATAACCTCGATGACGAGGCATAGTAAAAGAAAAAAAGCAACGTCACTGCTCTCGTCATTCTCCTTTCCTTTGCGAAACTGTATAGGCCTTTCTCTTTGTTATCCATCGTCACTGTATACCTTGATGAGCGAAAATTATATTTTCTGATCAATAAAAACATCCATATGTTTTATTTGTTTGTACCAGAGTTGTTTAGTATGTGTATAGTGTGATATTGAAGTCCATGAAAGATGCGGATTTCTGAAATTTGTATCACTATCGATAGTTGATGTATATAATGTGTCTGTGCAGACGTAAAGAAGAGAAAAGCGACTAAGAAAAATTCTTTTAATGTGTGTATTATACAATGGAAGGAAAGATAAAAGAACCCTGAATAAAACTTTTGTAACGTAGAAGAAAGAAAAAGCACAAGAAAATGTTCATCGATTACATGTGCAAATGCTCGTGTATCCATCTAGTCAGTCTAAAGTTTTATCGCTTTGTGTTACATCTGATAGTGAATGTACTCCATCTACTATACTTAAGGGCCCCCCCCTGAGAAATGGTGATTTTCGGTCAAAAAAATCGGTTTTGAGATACGCACATGGAAAGATAGCCTGAAGTGTCTACTTTCAGAATCTGTACTGCCTTTTGTTACAAAACTGGTTTTCCGGGGATTTTGAGCAAGTTTTCTAAGAGCCTTGAAAACTCGGGTCTTCAAATAATAGTTTTCTGAACACATAGATTTGTAGAGCAAACGTTTCTGATCAAAATAAGACCTCGCACAACTCTGTATGACCTTGCATCAAAAAGTTACAGGCATTTTCCTAGAAGTCCTAAAATTGAGTATTTCATACAGTGTTTAATACCGTGTTTTCACTATATAAGAGTTACACCTGAAGTGCGTCCCAAGATTTTTAATAGGGGTTTGTCGTAGAGAGTTCATTCTTTTTTTGTTTAAAAGAGGAAAAGAAACTACATCGACTGACCGGCAGCGATTTTTGAATTAGGTCTTAGTTTTTTGTCAAACTGAGGACTTTTAGAAAATTCGGAAGGATTTTTCGGGTTTTGGAGGTTGTTGGTTGCCGGGAAAACCAATAAAGGGTTAACTGGAAAATCGGCATCGGTCAGTCCATGTAGTTAGGTGTCTAGTTTAAAATAAAACAAACCCGAACTCTCCAGCTTGAAGTATATTAAAAAATCTTGGGACACACTTCAGGGTCCTTTTTGTTTTTTTTAAACCTTTACGCTTTATTGAAGAAAGAGAAAAATAAATGCAAAGAGTCGCGGACCTTGATCTCTGGAAAACTCCTAAACCGTCAGACTTGGAGACAAAAAAATTTTTTTATTCCCGTAACTCATTGTCCCTAACATTTATGGAAAGTTTCGTCAAGATCGGATGTACAGTGTTGGAGATAATTTCTGAGGGAGGGGGCTCTTAAATTGAGGACGAAACGCGTTTGTATATGGCCATTTTCTGTGTAGTTGATTTTGGTCGAAAAGAAGCTTTCATTATCACAAAATCGACTTTTTATACGCTGAACAGAATCGATCCGAATTTTTTTTCTAAATAGCTTATTGAATGAATGTACGGGTAGCAAAGTATCTCTTTATTCAAATCACTTTTCACATTTTGGTGCGAAGAGTGGCATAGATGTCCAGTTATCATTATCTAGATAATAGCTATATAAATAGGATTTAAGGATATAAGGATAGAAAATAAGGATTTAAGAAGATAAGAGACACAAGGGACGGT